TAGCCATGGCCAGTTTCAGGCTGAGTGGCCTGCAAGCCTTGAAGGTACCCTAACATTCCCCCCTTTAGTTGTTCATAATGAGGAATCATGCTTATCTAGGTGATGAGCGTAAACATTCTCAGGGCTAGGTAACTTTTCATATTGCTGTCTCAGGACCATTAGTTGGACTGTACTAATTCGATCTTTCACGAAGGTCACTAGCTTATTCAGAATACAAGGACCAAAGGTTAAGATAAGCAGTAGTATGACCAGAGGGCCCACCAGGGTAGAGACCAAGGTAGTGAACCAGGGGGACCTATTGAACCAAGCTTCAAACCAATTTTCTTGGGCTTTCCTTTCCCATTTTCTTTTTGCCAGTCCTTTCCTCACTTTAGCCATAGAATCCCTAACTACCCCTGAATGGTCAGCATAAAAACAACATTCCTCCCCTAGGGCTGCACATAGTCCCCCCTGCTGGAGGAACAATAAGTCTAGGCCCCGTCAGTTCTGAAGCACTACCTCAGATAGAGAGGTAAGAGATTTTTCCAGGTGACTAATGGAGGCTTCTATCCTCTCTATATCCTCATCTATGGCCGCGCACAGTGAGGACATCCCTTTATGTTGAGTAGCCAGGGAGGCTATGCCGGTTCCTGCCCCAGCCACTCCTAGGCTAAGTAGGGTAGCAATGGTTAATGCAGAAATAGTCTCTCTCTTTTTTCTCTCACCTGTTCCTGTATTCCAGTATGAATATAGGCTCTCCTCAGAATGATAGATGATACAGGGCAGCACAGTCAGTAGGACACAGAATTCTTTAGAGCCGTTAAAGACATTAGTTTATAGGCAAGGGGTAAGCCTGGACTGTGAGCATACCCACCATCCATTGCCTTTTGGAATTACCCACTTAATACCATCACCCCAGGTGGGATTGTTATCTATAGTAGCACATAGGTCCTGTTTTTCTCCGCCAGCACCTTCCCTAAGCAGGTTCCTTGGCTGCTCACTTGTTGTATGGTCAGACCTCTCTTACAGTCTCCCCAGGAACATTGAGTGGGGTTTTCACTAGTTGAGACATTGTAGGTGACATTTAGCCCTATTGCCTCACAGAATGGGGGCCTCACATCATAGCACAGCCAGCAGGAGGTAGTCATATTAGGGTTGGTGTGGTTCAATGTTAGGAATGCAGCATTTACCAAATTCCAGAGGGGGTCTGTGGACCCGGTCATGAGACTGGGCTTCACCAAAGGAGGGCCAGGGCCTAATGGTCCTGGAGTTTTAATACTAGCCTTTGTGTGAGGCCGGGTAGGGACCGGGGTTGTGCGAGGTCGGAGAGGCAGCTCTACATAGGGTGGCTTAAGTACCTTGTTGGGGCCTACCATTTTGGACAGTGGCCCCATGGGCTCAACTTTTAATCTGATTACTATGGTTGAGCCAGAATGTTCACCATATTTATAAAACACAAGTCCCCACACCTTGCTTTGTATCCACCCGGGGGTGTCCTCTTTGCCACTGTCAGTGAAGGTGACCTTGATTCTATCTGTATCTGTGGGCTGGCATTCATGGGTGGGTGACGGAATTCTGCGTCCCCAGGGTACCCCGTTTACAAAGGCAAATTTGACTAGGTCTGGTTTTGATATTCCCCACTTCCATTCACCATCGTTGGGTGTGACACATGCCCATGACTTACAGAAGGAATATTGTATCCCCCCACAGTCCTTGCTCTTTTTGTGGCTGGGGCAAGCATAAAAACCATAACGTCGGGCTGACTCCAGGGCAGTAGACTTGTAGGCAGGATTGATGTCTCTGAAGCAGAATTGCAGCTCCGGCCACCAAGTTCCTATGGGGGCAGTGCGAGTAGTCTCGTTAAGGGTGGTATGAGTCTCCCCATTGGTGAGTATCCAGGTTTGCTTATAGGGCTGGTGAAAGGTTGGTTTTTGCAAAGACTCCTGCACTGGGCATTGAGCAAGATCAGAGCGACCAGCCAACCCGTCCGTGGCTGCTCCTGAAGACTCTGCATGTTCCCGGGGTTGCAGAAGCTTCAGCTTCAATGGGTTGTCTGGGTGCCACTGTGCGGTCCACTCTCTAACGTCTTTCTGTTCTTGGTGACTGGCTTGACGCACGTGGGAGTGATGGACCCAATGCCCGACGCTGTCAACCTTAAGAGCAGTGGGGGTAACCAGAATGACCACGTAAGGACCTTTCCATCTTTTTTCCAGAGTGTGGGCTCTGTGCCGCTTTACCCATACCCAATCTCCTGGGACGATGCCATGTTCCGGGTTCAATGTGTCTTTTGTCTCATACAAGGCATGCACTATGGGCCAGATTTCACGGTGGAACTCCTGTAGGGCTTGGTCCAGTAGGGTTTGGACAACAATGGGGGTGGAGCCCCGTATAGAACTTCAAAAGGTGTCAATCCATGTACATATGGTGAGTTTTGAACCCGGAAGATGGCATAGGTTAGGAGGGCCACCCAGTCTCCGCCAGTCTCGATGGCTAATTAAGATAAGGTCTCCTTTGGGGTCTGATTTGTTCTTTCTACCTGCCCTGAACTCTGGGGGTTATATTCACAATGTAGTTTCCAATTAGTCCCCACTGCCCGGGCCAGCCCTTGTAGGACGTTACTTATGAAAGCCGGACCAGCAAAACCTTAGCTACAACCTGGGCAGTCTCTCATTTTGTAGGAAAGTCTTCCACCCAGCCTGAGAAGGTGTCTATCAGAACCAAGAAATACTTATACCCATACCTTCCTGGCTTCACTTCAGTAAAATCCACTTCCCAGCTCCGTCCCGGTGCCCTCCCCTGTACCCGTGTACCTGTATGTAGGAGTCCCTTTTTGCTGGGTTTCATAGCCTGGCACCTGGCACATTGGTCCATAATCTTTTGAATCTGGGCTGTTTGATGCTGGAACCGGAGGCGGGCTGACTCGAGGAGGGTGAATAGTTTCTTCTTGCCTAAATGGTTGGCTCGATGTAAATTGGAGAGGAGAAACAGTCCTAACTTTTCAGGAAGGATCAGCCGCCCTTTGATATCACGATACCAGCCTTGCTGATTGGGCACCGGGCATCGGTGGTCTTGGGTCCACTGTTTGTCTTTCAGGGTGTACTTGGGTCGCAGTGGCAAGCGTGGAAGCTTGGGCATGGGTAAGGTCAGTGCTAGGGTCGTGGAGGCCAAAGCAGCATTTCGGGCTGCTTTGTCCACACTCCAGTTCCCTGTAGCTTCTGTATACCATACTAGCTCACTGTTGGGTAGGGCTGAGTCCTGGAGATCGGGGCGCACTTGGGTGATTTCAGCTATGCTCTCCTGACAGTCATGTAGAGGGGCTTCCAGGTCCAGCAAGGTGGCTGAGTTCAGAGAGACTGGTTCAGAGAAGAGGATGCAGGGAGCATCCAGCAAGAGCCCTTGGTAATGAGTCAGTCAGGCGTTGGTCATCCATCTACCTGGAGGGTGCTTTAGGACCCCCTCTACTGCATGGAAGGTTACCACCTTCAGATGTTGCCCAAAAGTGAGCTTATCTGTGTCCTTTACCATTAGGGCAACTGCCACTATGATCCACAGGCATGGGGGCCAGCCCACTGCAACTGGGTCTAACCTTTTGGATAGATAAGCAACTGGACACTTCCAGGGCACTAGGCGCTGCATTAGTACCCCTTTCACTATCCCCCTCCTTTTGTCTACAAAGAGGGTGAAGGGCTTTAGAGGGTCTGGCAGCGCCAGGGCTGGGGCTCTCAGGAGGGTGGTCTTGAGCTCCTCAAAGGCCTTTTGTTGATCTGGCCCCCAGGCCCAAGGGGCCTTGTCCTTAGTTGCCTCGTATAAGGGTTTTGCCAGTTCAGCATACCCCAATATCCACAGCTGGCAGTAGCCCGCCGTCCCCAGGAACTCACGGACTGTGGGGTGGATGTCCTTGACCCTCTTGTTTACTTCCCTTAAATCTTGGACTGGCCTATAGTCTTTTCCCCCGGGTTTCTTAACGGGGAGGAGTGGAGTGTTCCAAGCAGAATGGCAGGGCTGTAATATTCCTGCCTCCAGGAGATGGTTAATGTGAAGGGCAATCCCCCTCCATGACTTGGAAGACATGGGATACTGATGGACTTGGATGGGCTGAGCCGAAGCCTTGACTTCTACTATTACCAGGGCTCAATGTTCCGCCAGCCCCACACCTGCTATTTCTGCCCAAGCCTGGGGGTAGGTTTGAATCCAATAAGCCATTTCAGGGGACCACTCAATAGGTTTCGGGGAAGGGTCCCATAAGGAGAACAAGCGATGTTCATCCTTGAGAGACATGGTCAAGACATGGAGGGGCTGTCCTTGTCCATCTGTCACTTTGATACTGTCCAGCTCAAAGTGAATGTGAGCCCTCACCTTAGTTAGCAGATCACATCCCAGAAGTGGGGCAGGGCACTCAGGAATGACCAGAAAGGAATGGGTCACCTAATGTCAGCCCAAGTTCACCTTATGCTTGCTAGTCCATTGATTGCCTTGGACCCAGTGGCTCCCTGCACGAGACTAATTTTCTGGGACAGTGGCTCAGTAGGTTTATTAAGGACTGAATATTGGGCCCCTGTGTCCACCATGCATCTCACAGGCTTCCCCTCCACATATATGGTTACCCAAGACTCGGGGAGGGGGTCCGAGACCCATGCCCTCTAGTCACTGTCCATTCTCGCTAACAGGACCCGGGCATCATTATTGGGCCTGCTATTTGGTCCCGGGTGACCCTGGAGTTTGGGATATTCCTTCTTCCAGTGTCCATATTTCTTACAATAGGCACATTGTCCCTGGTCTAGCCTGGGTCGATTTCTGGGACGTGTGGGGCCGGTCCATCCAGAACTTGGTCTGGCCAGACCCTGGACTCCTGCTAGCAATATCTTAGCCATCTCCTTTTGCTGTTTCTTGTTTTCCTTATTCTGGTGTTCCCTGTCCTCCTTCCGAATCCTTTCTTGTAGTTTCTGATTTTTCTTCCTGATTCTATCCTCTTGTTCTTCTGGAGTTTCTCGGGTGTTAAAAACCCTTTCAGCTACTTTCATCAGATCCCGGATAGTCATTTCCCCAAGTCCTTCCTGCTTATATAGTTTCTTCCTGATATCTGGGGCAGCCTGATTTATGAAGGACATTATCATGGCTGACTGATTCACCTGTGCTAGTGGGTCTAGGGGGGTATACTGTCTGTATGCATTGTAAAGATGCTCAAGGAGCACGGCTGGGCTTTCATTTTCCCCCTGCATTATTGCCTTTACCTTAGCCAAATTGGTAGGGTGGCGAGCTGCCACCCGGAGGCCTGCCATAAGAGTCTGGCAGTAGACCCGGAGACGCTCCTTACCTTCTGCATCCCCATAGTCCCAGTCAGGTCTGTTCAAAGGAAAACGATCATCAATCAGGTTCGGCAAGGTGGTCGGTCGTCCATTGTCACCGGGGACATTCTTTCTGGCTTCAGTGAGAATCCGCTCCTGTTCCTCAGTGGTGAATAGAGTCTTAAGGAGCTGCTGACAGTCATCCCATGTGGGACTGTGAGTATGCAAAATGGACTCGAACAGATCAGTCAGGCCTCTAAGGTCCTCAGAAAAAGGAGGATTCTGGGCTTTCCAGTTGTACAGATCACTACTTGAAAAAGGCCAATACTGATAGGTGCATCCCACATTGGGACTAGCACCACCCAGGGCCCGCACCAGGAGGATGGGGGCCCCAGTGGAAGTGGAGGAGGGCTCCTCCTCTGGGGTTTCCTCTTGCTGCCTACCGGGTGTGAGTCTCCTCACCGGTCCAGAGACTGGGGGTGCAGACAGGAAGGCTGACAAGTGGGGAGGCTCAGAGGGGTCAGCTGCCTCTGGCTGGAGCGGTGCAGCAGCGGCATATGGCAGGGGATTTACTTCAAAATCTAAGTCTATCAAGGACGGATGGAGAATCCATTCTTCCTGTAGAATAGGCTTTTTAGGGGAAGTAATGGGAATGGGGATGTTCCCCAACATGGCCAGTATCATAGGCCAGTCTGCAGGTGACTCATGGATAAATGGCTGCAGCCAGGAAGGAGGATCCTCTACCAAAGTCTGCCACATAAGGATATAGGGATATTGATCAGGGTGGCGGTGAAGACCGGGTCTATTAATGACATCTCGGACCTTCTTAATTGTGTCCAAGGAGAAGGTACCTTGCAGAGGCCAGCCTACATTGAAGGTTGGCCATTCTGCTGAACAAAGGGTGTTACCTTTCTTAATTTCCACACCATAATTGTGTCCCTTAGCGTGGATTTCTGAAAAATGACTCAGAAGAAGGGTCTTAGGAGTTACCTGAGCCTGTCCCATGATGATCAGGAGAGATGGACAGAGGAGACAGCAAAGAACAAAAGAGACAATTCCAGCAGACAAACAAATTCACACAGGACTCTCTAACATACACAAGTACCAGCCGATCAACCAGACTACACTCACAGGTGCAATTCCATTCACACCAGACTCTGGATCCTTACCCAAAGACCGCCCAAACGGCGTCCACTGAGGACGCCAGCGCGGCTCCATGACTTCCAATAGTGAAGCCTCCAGGGCTGTAACCCCTTCCTTCCACTCAACGAGAATTCTCAACCAAATTCAGATGGGGACTTTAAGTCCCTCCAAACGGAGGTGGCCAATCCTCCTTCTGTGGTCTTTCTCAACTAAACCTCGGTATCGGAGGCCATTTGTTCCTCTCAGGGAGGGGCCGATATCTCAGTGGGACCTCCAGATGTTGGGATCCGAGGTCTACCAACCCCTCAGAGGAACAAAAGACACTCACGATAATGTAAGCCACAAAGCGAGGTTTATTTCCAGCCAGCTGGGGTCCGGGTATCCGCCTGACGCAGCGAGTTTCAATGAGGACCCTGAATGCAAAGTCCAGGCTGCTTTTATATTTTTTTAAACATTAGTCACGGTCACACAGCAATTTTTATGGCTCCTGGGGTCACATATTTCTGATATCACCCACATCCTGGTGGTGGGGCAAGATTACTTGAAGATTACTTATCAGGAACTTGATAAACACCAGGTGTCTTAACTCATTGACTCACATACCGTTTAGCAAGATTAACCAGAAACAGTCCCTGTCCCCAGAAACCGTCCCACCTCCCTTTGTTCCAGTAAGTGTTGGCTTGGGTCATGTTAGTCATGGCCAGTTTCAGGCTGAGTGGGCTGCAAGCCTCAAAGGTACTCTAACAGCTTCAGTTTAGATATATAGAGGTTTGGCAAATTTTTCTTTTTGCCTTAACTCTCAGCCAACAAAAAGAACTTCAGAGTTGCCTGTCTTGTGATTTAGAAATGACAGACATCATTGTCTCTCACACATCTCATGTGACTTTGTTTCATGGGGACCACCTGCAGACTTTCACCTTCCCCACAGTTAGTTCTTCATGCTCCCTCTAGAGAGCCTAGTCCTTGTTTCACTCTCCCTTTTCCATTCCCTCCTCTATTTTTGCTTTGGCTTAGGTCATGTTTAAAACAGGTTTTCTATTTTTCTCTGTCATGCAATGCTCAACTCAAGCTCTAACAAATTGTCAGAAAAATATACAAATGTATAAGAAAAACTTTTATTATTGTCTTCAAAGGGTCAGCTATGTTTCCAATCATGGGATAATATATAAACAACTGTCAAAAAGTCACATTAACTCTGTGTGGCAAGAGTGAGCATATAAAGTTAAAAGGTCTATAAATTTAAGTCAGTCCATATACAGCATTGAGGTACTGATATCTTATTACTTGTCTTTTTAAAATACTTTTGAGAGTTGACTAAGATAAGGCATATGAAAACAATTTGTAAAACATAAAAACTACACAAATAAATACAAATTGCTAGTTTATTTTATTATTTGCTTTGTTGCTTTAAATTGTAAGCAAATACACAGCAAGATCCTTCTTTTGTTAGCTCTTTAATAGCTCCTAGCAAATTCATAGGCAGAATTCCACAAATTTCCACCCATGGAAGTTAGCAGATGTTAAAGAAAATTATTTGAATTGATCCCCTTGTTACAAAAATACACATTTCAGTATGTTTAGCTTTCTGTAAAATTACAATAGCAGTGGGTATGAAACAACAAACCAAGTTTATAAAATAAAACTGAGGTATATCTGAGGGTAGGTATATTAGTAATCAATTTCCATTTGAGGCTTAGGAGAAGTTCAAATGGAAGAACACATGCATTTGAAAAATTAAGGAGTGAACAGATTCCATGGTAAACAAAAGCATTCTATCTCAGAAGTGTCTGAAAATTTGAAAACTTGTGGGTTTCTTTTCTTTTTCTTCCTTTCTTTTTTTTTTATTCTTTTGAGACAGGGCCTCACCATATCACTCAGGCTGGTCTTGAATGCTTGAGCCTTCTCCTCAGTTTCCTGAGTGCCGGGGTTATAGGTATGTACTATCTTGCCTGACTTAGAATGTATGATCCTTGATCGTTTTTGTAGAAATGTGAGAGTGTGACCAGCAAACATGCAAGGCACTGTCAATTTCACCATAATGTCTAGCCTATGCTTTTGTGATTTTTGTTGCATTCTTGTGTTTGGAGAATGAATTGAATACTATGTATGGTTGAGGTTTCATTCAATCATGTTTGTTCCTCCACTGTTACTTTGAACCTTCTTGCCATTCGGAAAAAAAATCTACCCAATATGGCTTCATCCAACATTGACATAATAGGACAAGGGCCCTAATCCCATATTTTACAACATTACAATAATGTAACACATTTTGAATGCTTACAATGGAGAACCATCACAGGATCTCCTCTCAACCATTTGGGATATCATTGGGACATCTTTTCTCATAGGCTACCCAGAATGTGGCTAGGAACATTACTTCACTTTAAAATTATTATATGTTATCTACTCTATAGGTTATGTTATTATCCCTTCAATTTCAGTGGATATTTATGAGATGAATGCCATGAAACTTATACTAAAGGTGAATTAAAAATGATTAATGATGGCTTTCATGAGGTGACAGTTTTTTTTAAGGCAGTATTTGTTAATGGATGCTCTTGGACTACTGACATCAGAACTGGCTGGATGCTTTTAAGAGATGTGTTTCCTGGTCACCAATTCTGGTACTCTATTCAGTGGACAAGAAGGATACTTAAAATTTTTAAATTATTTTTGATAAAACATAAATTGGTAAGCAATCATAAAAAGAAGTAAGCATTCATGAAAAATATGAACATCAAGAGGAACCAATATTTGTTTATTGATTTGTAATTTATGTGTGTTAGGATATTGATTGTTGGGCCAACATTTGTGTGTATTGTAATTGATTGTGGAACAAGAACCATGCTTTTGCCTTATTGGCTGCCATATATGTAGTACATATAAAATATTTAATAATTACCTCACTATTTTTTCAATTGAAATATTACCAGGAAACAAAAGATTTGCTATCAGATTTGAAAAGATTACCCTTCCATTTGGAGCAAGTTCCACATTGACTATGTACTGTAGGATCCTGAGTGTACTTTACACATTAATTATGTTAAAGTAATATTAATTACTTTTCTAGCATGGCATGTTTTCCAAGCCCATGTTGTTCATTTCACCATTCAGATTCTTGATGATCTTTTTTTTTTTTAAATGGATGACCTGTTTCATTTTTCTTCTTGACGTTAAATCTAGTGCTTTCACCATTATGTCAGTTGGTCATAAAGTCTGTTTTCAGGAATTGTTTTTAGCAACTAAAATTATACTTTATAGTTAGAAACTCACTCCAAATTATTGATCCTTCATTTCGAAAAGAATCATAAATTGACCCTGGCTCACAGATTCCCAAAGAGATCAATCAGTGTAAAGATGGCAGCCCCGAATTTGAAAGTCTAATCTGAGTTCATTTGTAACACAATGAAATAGCATAAGAGAAAGTGGTCAGGTATCAAACTGTGGGAATATGCACACAAATGACTTGTTAGTGTTACTATTTTCTACCAGGAAGGAAATTCACTTAAATCAAGTAAAGATGGCAACTCATTAAAATTTGATCTTTCCTTTCTATTCTTTTTTATCTTTTGAACTTCCATATTTGGCACAACTTGTTCTATTAAATAATACTCATTGATTAAATCTCATCTTCTCTTAAAAAAAATTAAAAAAAGAAGTATTTAAAGGGCTACAAATGTGGATTTCTGCAGCTTCACATTTGATAGTGCAGAATGAAATACTTTTAGTTTTCATTACTTCAGATTACATGTATGTTTTGCTTCAATTTGCTTTCAATCTTCACAATAAGGACAAGGAGGAGGAGGAAGAGATCTTGGGAAGAGAGAAAGAAATCCATTTAAAGTCCATAATGTGTTTTGCCTAGACACCTATGTTTTCCAGCCTTAATTAATTAATTATTTGTGGGACTGGGGTTTAAACTCAGGACTTCACATTTGCAAAGCAGTGCTCTACCACTTGAGCCACACCTCAAGTCCATTTTGCTCTTGTTATTTTAGAGTGGGGTCTCCTGAATGATTTATCAGGGCTAGCCTGGAACCTTAATCCTCCTAATTTCAGCCTCGAAGGTTAGCTAGGATTGCAGGCTTGAGCCACTGGTGCCTGTCATTTTTCAGCCTCTGTGATGTTTTAGCAACTTGATTAGTTATCTAAGTACAGATGGAAATGAAGCTTTCACTGTAATGCAGATGAGATGATTATTCAGTTCATCTAGTCCACTGTGCAAATTCACCATCATTTTATTTCTAACCTTCTACCTTTAACTGATCAGGCCAGGATTTTGACTTTACCTAAGCTTAGTATTGTGTTTCTATTGAAAAGTGACTAGATGTGCATACCAAGTATGAAACTTTTACAAAGGACAAAGAGATTTTAATTGAAAAATAAGCCAGACCTTTCACTGTGTTCTTTGTCAGGAGTTATTAATAAGTATCAACATAACATTGTGATGGTAGTCATTTGATTTTTGCATTTAGGTTCTGCCTTCTATTTCCATTTGAAATTATTTGAACCACTCAGGATCTTGTTTACAAAGCACTTTTCTGGGACTTCTCAAAGTGGGAACCTTTAATAATGTAACAGAGGACTTGAGTTTCTTTTATTCTAGTATTTTAGCC